GCGTAACATTGATGTTTGTCCAGTGATGCTTTAAAGTTATACGTTTAGTAAAGGGCGTAACATTGCTGTTTGTCCAGTGATGCTTTAAAGTTATACGTTTAGTAAAAGATGTAACGTTGCTGTTTGTCCAGCGAGTGTTTTAAAGTTATACATTTAGTAAAGGGCGTAACATTGCTGTTTGTCCAGTGATGCTTTAAAGTTATACGTTTAGTAAAGGATGTAACGTTGCTGTTTGTCCAGTGATGCTTTAAACCTATACATTTAGTAAAGGATGTAACATTGCTGTCTGTCCAGCGAGTGTTTTAAAGCTATACATTTAGTAAAGGATGTAACATTGCTGTCTGTCCAGCGAGTGTTTTAAAGCTATACATTTAGTAAAGGATATAACATTGCTGTCTGTCCAGTGAATGTTTTAAAGTTATACATTTAGTAGAGGATGTAATATTGCTGTTTGTCTAGTGATCGCTTTAAAAGTACATGTTTAATGAAAGATTTACTATTGGGCTGTTCATAAAAAACACATGTATAAAATACTAAAGACAGTCCCCTGGTGAGTCAGCGATAAGTATATGGTCTTAAAACGCTAAAATCCGGGTCCGATTACGTGCGGTGTACAGAGCAGATACCCCAAAGTGGCTTTGCGCTAAAACAAACAAACAAATACTGAAGAGTTCACACAATAAACTTTAACGTTAAACGTTTAATGAATCATAGTTTGTTGTTTCTTATATATATGTTCTTAACCTATCTTTGTTTTAATGTAGGTTGTGTTAGCGTGCTGGAACCGGAAATTAAAGTCAGAAACAATACAGCATGCTTCAACGAAGACTTATTATAATACTTGTGGTTATTGTTTTAGTAACACGGGTAAGTTTTATACTTAAGTGAATTATTTTTTCTTGTAAATCCATATGAAGTGTACCCCCTTTCAAACTAAATAGTTTGTATTTATTCTACAAAAAAAAAAAAAGTCGTAATACATTTTACTGTAGCTTTGCAAAAGCACTGTTAAAAGTTAATATATTTTTTCTTGGTTACACTGGAAACACGAAAGTACTTATAAAAGAATCACAGAGATAAACTTTAAATCAAACATGCTTCGAATGTTTTAAAACTACATATAAAGGAAATAAAACAATAAGCACACTTCACTATCGGACATCTTTGCTAAAACAAATTATTCTATCCGAGTTTACGTTAAATAGCAAATATGAATAAAAACAACACAAGGAGAATATAGAGGAAGAATATTGTAGAATACAAATATTTTTTTCTCTTTCTGAACTTTGCTGATTTAGCAAGGAACTTAATGAAGAATAACCAACGGTTCTCATGTATTCTTTTAGGAAAACTAAAACATGTATATTAAGTAGTTAGAAAGAGCCATCTGATAGATAAAGGTCAGGCTTCTGATGTACTATACTGTATTGAAATTTCATATTATTAGCCAGTATCTTGTAAGAAGCTTGAACTAGATAAACAATGCCGTTGAAAACAATGCCTCCCCTCCTTGTCTTGTGAGAATACAGGGCGTTGAGAATGTTATATTAAAACGGTTTTGAATATGCAAATCAGATGTTGAAACAGGCGCTGAGAAACCGTTGTCTTCGTACACAAAATGGTTTGTGGAAAGCTTGCAGGGAGGAATGGTGTGCTTTGGAAAGGACATCTTTAGACTGAGCCTTTTGCGATGGAAACTACGCAGAAGGGTTATTATGGACTGTAACGATGTACTGAGGCTCCAAAATCGTTGTAATGTAACATACACAATCTCTGTACAAGCAACGCCTGTTGTTTGTTAATATATGCTGGTCGATGATGTTTATTACTCAATGTAAGTTGACTAGTCACAAAACAATCTAGACAATGATGTTTGTTGTTCACAATAACATTAGATCAGCAATTAATTTTTAATAAGAACACTAAAGCAAACATTTTAGTATATCAACTAAGACCTTTATTCTTTATGACATAGCTTATTTAGCAAGGCCTTTATTTGTTATGCTCATTAATCATGTTATGCTGACTAATACCAAAGTAGGGTCTTTATTTGTTATGAGATAGGATACAAACTTATACCAACATTCGTGTTGAGATGTATAAAGTAAGGCTTTTATTTGTTACTAGAGAGAATACCAACTAATACCCACATTAGTATCGAGATATATCAAGGAAGGCCTTTATTTGTCATGAGATAGCATATTAGCTAATACCCATATTCGTATCGAGATATATCAAGGAAGGCCTTTATTTGTTATAAGATAGGATATAACTATTTTTTATATGTTTTAAATCTTCTTCGGGCGAAACCTCAAATGACAATTCAAGTTGAAGACATTGTAGCTCATACTTTCTACATACAACATTTATTTAGCCCACGCCCTTGATCAGTGTAAAGACATCATATTCTGATATTGAAAGTAAAGGATAGATTTTTTATAATACATAAATTCAACCTCAAAGAATGTCGTAGAGTAAGAGAATCACTGTATGTCTTTACCCTTAACTGTGAGTGACTAGAGCTGTATCATCCACACTGAGCAAGATGACCCACTGACTTTAAGTTCAATTTTCATCTTAGGACAATAATATAGCACCGAAGCATGACTGATGTAGCGTAAAGGAACTAAAGAAACTTTCAGCGAACAAATACACTCTATACTGCTAAGGAAGTTCTTGGTAACATCTTATTTCACGGTATTGTTACTCTGATTTGTTACGGTCATACACGTAATATCAAGATAAATAAACACCCCAGATACTTCCGTGTTCGTGTCATAAAAATGAAAACGAGCAATTACTGATATTTCGTCAGCGCTAAGAGTGTATACATGAGACGTTTTAGTAATATGAAAACAGACCTTTTTTGGATTACTGGAGGTAAACAAAAATTCTTAGTGGAATTTTTATTTTGGCAAATATGGCCAAAGCAGTGAGACAATACTAAAATAGGGTTGTGTATATGCTCTTTTATCTCCAAAATCGTCGTCACACTGTAAACACGTTGAAGGGCGTTATATCTGAAGATTATCTTCCTAGATTAACTCAAAGATAGAAGTGTTAAACAGATAACCGACTTAATTTATCTTTAACTGGCAAATCGATAAATCTGTTTAATAAAATCTGTGCTTGTTTAGATAAGTTGTAGCTTACTGAATTTTAACCATCGATATTTATTTATGTATTCCTTCTTCGTCATTTTTTCTAATCATGAACAAAAGCTTTATTAAGCGATTCTCGTTTTTATTTTAATTGTCATTGTTTATTCATTATTATTTTAATTTTGTCTGACAAATATGACAGGGTGATTTTTTCTTTATAACTTACTAGATATCAGCTAAAGAGATTCATAGCTCCCAGGACCTACAACAAGAAGAATTGGCTAATATACCTGCTGAGCACAGGTCTTATCCACAGACACAAGCTAACGGCCCGGTTTATAATGATGTACCTGTCTATGTATCTAGTGGAGGAGGGCCGGAAGCAGGGGTCGCTCCTTATGTAGGAGGCCCTGGTCCAGGCTCAGTCGGTTCTGGACCAGGAAATCATCACGCGGGTAGCCCAGGAACGTACCCTGAAGTAGGACCACATGATCTATGGCCTGCTGGACGCCCAGACATGCCTCAGATTAATGCTTTGAATGTCAAGTGTGAGAAAAATCACATGAAAGTGAATATCGAATTCGACCGTCCATTTTATGGGATGATATTTAGCAAGGGTCACTACAGTGACCATAACTGTGTCCATTTACCTCCAGGGATTGGTCATGAGATCGTTAACTTTGAAATATTTCTAGGTAAATGTGGGATGACCAGTAGCCAACAACAGCATGGCCCACATGGAGGCGAGGGAGGATATGGTGGTGGCTTGTTCATCGAGAATACAGTTATTATCCAGTATGACCCCCAGGTTCAAGAGATATGGGACCAGGCCCGCAGACTTCGCTGTACTTGGTATGACTTCTACGAAAAGGCCGTAACTTTCAGGCCTTTCAATGTAGACATGCTTGATGCTGTAACAGCCAACTTCCTGGGTGATAACATTCAATGCTGGATGCAGATCCAAGTAGGCAAGGGACCTTGGGCTAGTGAGGTAGCCGGGATTGTCAAGATTGGCCAAACAATGACTATGGTTCTCGCCATCAAAGACGACGAACACAAGTTTGATATGCTTGTGAGAAATTGCATTGCTCATGATGGTAAAAGTCAACCTATCCAGTTAGTTGATAATTATGGGTGTGTAGTGAGACCAAAGATTATGAGCAGGTTTCAGAAAGTTCCAAACTTTGGAGCATCTGCTTCCGTTGTTTCATATGCCTACTTTCAAGCTTTCAAGTTCCCAGACTCCATGAATGTCCATTTCCAGTGTATTATTCAGGTGTGTAGACATGAGTGTCCCATCCCACAGTGTGGAGGAGATCTGGGTGGAGGCTACTTGCCAGCACCTCGTGACCAAGCTTCTGCTTATTCAGAGGCAAAGCCAGTCAATGCTAATACTAAACCCACAAGGAAAGAACAAAAGCCAAGCTCCAGTTCTTATGGCATCTCTAATTCAGCCCAATACTCAGGATCTAACAATCCTGATGATGAGGACTACCCATCAGCTTTCTTCAACCGTAATGGCGAACAGCTTCCAGAAGAAACAAGTGATATGAAGATTTCCACGGGGTATGCTGTATCTGGTACCGGAGGAGTAGGTATGCCTCGCTCCAGTGACGCTTCCCCTAGATCGAAAGAGCTAGAACTCAATAGCACGACAAGACGACGTCGGCAAATCCCCGAAGCCACAGATATCCAGACTCAGCGAGTTATTCAAGTAGTTGCTCCTGGTGATGTAGACTTTACACTGCCTCTTTCAGGAACTAAAGAAACTCCTGTTGATGTATACTCCAGTGTCACTGAATTTGAATCCAGCGCCATCTGCATGTCCGTTCCGGGATTTGTTGCTGGATTAATTATCCTCTTGCTGCTCTTGATTGTTTCCTCATTAGTGGCTGCCTTTCTCTTCCTTCGAGTTCGCCACTTAACACCAAAAGACATCTCTTCTGATGAAACAGTAATATGTAATGAACACCCGGAATTTCTAAAATCACCAAGTGCGACAGCGACACACTGAGAAGTCACTAGATGTCACTATTAGCTAATCGGGTTTATTTATTTTTCAGGAAGACATAGCTGTTGAGGAGATGTCCGTGGACAGCTTTTCCTTTAAAATTTGTGATGCGTAGATAACCATTTTGAGCTGAAGATAAATATATAAAAAATTTGTAATCTTCCAGTTTTCTAACTTTAAACTAAAACAAAGGTACATTACGTACATAACGAAGCTGTGGACCCTTATTCCGAGAAAACAAACTTCTATCAGCTGATGCTTAAAGAAAACAAACGACAGTGAAAGACGATCACATTTTACTTAATCTGTTAAAATATAAACAAACTATCCGTTCCTGACACTTTCGTATGTTTGTCTGCCAATGAGACTTGTCTTAATTTACTTCACTTGTTGGAAAGGTAATAGGTTTGTGATATTTTTCATTAGGTGTACCAAACGATATGACAAAGACTGGATGTGCTAATTAAGAGAAAAATCTGATGATGACTTACTTTCAAACAAGCTCCATCGTAAAAACAGTAGAATAACACATTTTCGTTATTATATAATTTCTTGACATTGTTATGACTTCTAATATATTTCTTAATAATCTAAATCGAGAACACGTTGAAGTGTCATAATTGTCAATAATTACATTTCCCGAAACAAACAGACAAATCATTACTGTAAACTTCCACACGTATGTTGTTACTTAATATTAGATTCAAACACGTGCAAGTAAAATGTCAACAGAAATATCGTCTAACAATACCACTGTCCCCAGTGGCACAGCGGTAAGTCTGAAGGCTTATAATAATAAAAAACAGGGTTTCTATACCCGTGGTAGGAACAGCACAGATTATGCTTAACTACATACAAGAACACTGATGCTACGACTGCCTTCCAACGAAGTTAAAATAATTAAACAAATAATCTAAAAATTAAATGATAAAAAGATAAACGGTATTCTATGGGTAAAGAGAATTATATAAATGAATTACTAGCGTTAAAAACAGCGAAGATCATTCGGCTGAAACACATATTATCTAGCTTTAAACAGTATATAATAAGTATCAGTTATAACTTTGAGTCCAATGATATTTTAGTTTCCTCCATTAATCAATGTTAACAATGTTCAGTGAGACATTTCCATTGTTGTAATCCACATCTGAGGGATGGCCACTTTTATTGACCTTTCCATTGTTGTGACCCACACCTGAGGGATGACCGCTTTTATTGACCTTTCTATTGCTGTGATTCACACTTGAGGGATGATCACTTTTAATGACCTTTCCATTGTTGTGCACTTGAGGGATGACCACTTTTATTGATCTTTCCATTGTTGTGATCCACACCTGAGGGATGGCCACTTTTATTGACCTTTCTATTGCTGTGATCCATACTTGAGGGATGGTTACTTTTATTTGCTCTGTTGTTGTTTCATTTGTTTGTTTTTCTTAACGATCGAAATTCTTGTTCTTTTCTTTGCATTATTACAATTGAAGATATAGTGTTAGTGCGCTCATCTTCTGGTTAAGAAATGATTTTCTTACTTTAATGACAAAATATTCTAATATTCCAAGATGGAATTCTTCACGGGAATGCAGAATAACGCAGAACCCACCCTCTAAAAAACAAACAAACAAAATAACTTGAGGTAATACTGCTAGTATTGTAGGATTTAGTGTTACACTGTTCATATATTCGAATGCAGAGCCCTCTAGTTGTTGATTTGGGCACATGAACTCGTACACCATTAGCGATGTATTCAAAGTAAGTTGTTCTTTAAAGTTGAATAACTCTTTCAACTTAGACTCTGGATGCGGCTGTTTGATAATTTTTTACTTAATCACGTATGAAATGCTGTCTAAGTAGGGTATGACTAAAGCAACAGTTTTCTTCATAACATCTAACATAACAATAGATGGGGTATTTAGTTTTCAGCTTTTGGTGTGGATTATTCTATTTAGGAACGACAACGGAAAACGATTTCTTTCTAAGCATTCGTCTAATGTACTCAACTTATGCTTTAATAAATATTTTGGTTGCCTGATAACTTAAAGGCTGTGTATAACAAGTTTTTAACAAGAGTTTCTTAAAAAATTGAAAGAGTGAAACCTTCAGAATGGAATAATGTCACCTGAAAGCAGATAAAGGAATCATTGCTGATCAGACAATTGAAACCAGGATTAAACAAAACTCCCTTATCTTTTCCTTTAAGTATACCCTGGTTATTTTAGATATGAACATCTAAGAACAAGAGTTTGTCATTCTGTTGATTTTCATTTGTAAACTTTATATTGGGATATTTACTGACTCTTCAAATTTTTTATCTTGTATGAAATACAAGTAAGAATATGAATAAATATTATTCTCAAAGTAAATAACTAAATAATGGAAAGTAACTATTCTTTCATTTTAAATCTGGGAGGTTTTCAAAAGTGGAATAAAATCACATTTTAGTTTTTCAATCATTCGGTGGCTAAGCAGTAAGTTTTATGGCTGATAATGCTAACATTCGGGGTGGGATCCCGACAGAGTACACAGAACATATATCCCAGTGTGCAGCTTTGCACTTAACAACAAACATTCTATTATCCACACACGTCATGAACCGTAATCGCAACATGTTTTGCACTTTTGGTCTAGTAAAAAAAATTCAATATTTATCAGGCAAAATTAATGAAAATCTTAGACCAAAGTGAAATTTAAAACGGGTAGTATTAATCCCTTCCGTAGTTTTACCGAGATACCACGGACAACATCCATGTTTCAAAAAATATTTGCTCGAGTTAATCTTGGTAAACCATTTCTTGCCGTATTTTTAATTATTTACCCGAATATATTCGCATGTTATCTTTTTTTCCCCCAATTTGTAGCTCGTTTCCAAAAAAAAATAAAAAAAACAACACTGACACAGAAAAAGTAACATTGAATAAAAGTCTGAGTTGACTGTCAGAATTAGAAACAAGTGACATCAAAGAAAAAATCTGAACTGACTATGTTGAAACTAGAAGTGTGTAACATTGAATAAAAGTCTGAGTTGACTATGTTAAAGCTAGGAAGTTTGGTTTGGGAGAACATTTATTGTCGTTTAATCATTACATATGTTTCCTTTCTTTTTTTATTATCAGACTTACTTCATGAAGTTCAAGTTTGATAATGTGTAAAATCTAATGTAAGTTTATAGTAATAAAGTTTCTCACTAGATGGCAGTGTAGATTACGCGCTATTATTACACTATCTGTGACGGAAACAAGTAAAAGATATTTTGTGTGATTCAGTGCCAACGATAAATAGATACTGACGCAGCACAATATCTATTTTTCAACATAAAATTATATTACATGAAAAGTAGCATCATTATTTAATTTTTGAATGCATTAGAATTATTTAGATTTTATTCACCAGGATTTTACAGTAATACACAGTTAAATTAAAACATTATACATATATTATTAACTTTCGTTTGTACTTAATAATGGGTTTTAACTTTTGAAAGCGGTGAAACCATTTCCAGTAAAAACAACAACAACAACAACAAAAAAAAAAAAACAGTTGGCCAATTGGCACTTCATTTAAAAATTTCGTCTCTGTCAGCTTGTGTATTTGTTTGTTTATTTTGAATTTCGCGCAAAGCTACACGAGGGCTATCTGCGCTAACCGTCCCTAATTTAGCAGTGTAAGACTAGAGGGAAGGGAGCTAGTCATCACCACCCACCGCCAACTCTTGGACTATTCTTTTACCAACGAATAGTGGGACTGACCGTCACATTATAACGCCCCCACGGCTGAAAGGGCGAGCATGTTTGGTGTGACTGGAATTAGCTTGTGGAAGCAACCCAGATAGATCATTGTTCAACTTTGTGCTTAACAACAAAAACAAATAAACAAATGTCATAATAAATAAACCTGATGTAACTTTTGCATAACCTATCCACAAAATGCTCGTTTCAATAATTCAAGCCATGCATATAGTATTTTTATTACGTGATTTTAAAATGAAAAAAAAAAAACGAATGTAAGACGAATGAAGATGATATAATACAGAAATACTAGTGGTTCATTATAACCATAATTAATTGTTGATAAAATTGACGTTAATTCGGCTAAGTTTCTTCAATTTCAATGAATAATTATACTCTTAAAGGAGTATATTACATTAACTGGTTCCTTATAAATCGTTGAATTCCAAACTTGATATCCATTTCTTAAGTTCCTACGTCTAAACGTTTTCGGCTCGTTAGTTAGAGCACCCTTATCACATATAATTCTGTTTTTACTAAGAACATGAAAGGGGCGAAACTAAATCAACCTCTAGACGGTTTACTCACAGCTACTACGATTTATCCACTACCTTAGGAAACTGTTTTTACACAGAAACTGTGTACACTCACAGCTAATACGATTTATCAACTACCTTAGGAAACTGTTTTTACACAGAAACTGTGTACACTCACAGCTACTACGATTTATCAACTACCTTAGGAAACTGTTTTTACACAGAAACTGTGTACACTCACAGCTACTACGATTTATCAACTACCTTACGAAGGCTGTTTATACACTGAAACTGTGTACTCACAGCTACTACGATTTATCAACTACCTTACGAAGGCTGTTTTTACACAGAAACTGTGTATTCACAGCTACTACGATTTATCAACTACCTTACGAAGGCTGTTTTTACACAGAAACTGTGTACAAACACACCTACTACGATTTATCAACTACCTTACTAAGGCTATTTTTACACAGAAACTGTGTACTCACAGCTACTACGATTTATCAACTACCTTACGAAGGCTGTTTTTACACAGAAACTGTGTACACTCACAGCTACTACGATTTATCAACTACCTTAGGAAACTGTTTTTACACAGAAACTGTGTACACACACAGCTACTACGATTTATCAACCATCTTAGGAAGGCTGTTTGTACACAGAAACTGTGTACACACACAGCTACTACGATTTATCAACTACCTTACGAAGGCTGTTTTACACAGAAACTGTGTACACACACAGCTACTACGATTTATCAACTACCTAAGGAAGGCTGTTTTTACACAGAAACTGTGTACACACACAGCTACTACGATTTATCAACTACATTACGAAGGCTGTTTTTACACAGAAACTGAAATATCAATTTGAAAGAAAAGATTCAATTGCATATTCAAGAAAAAAATACAAATTGGTGTCTATTCTGTTCTCTTAAAATCCAAACAACTCCAGCAGCTACAAGTTTAATAACTACAAAAATAAATAACCATTTCTCATTTCCCATAATGCAATGTGTTCTGGCTCACTTTTTTTTGGGGGGGGGGGGATTTTTCCAAATAGTAATTCAAATGACTGTATTGGATAACCGAGTTATTAACCGTAAAGCTACATACTTTTTTATACTGTTCATGCGCCAAATTGCTCGTAAGTCCATGACGTTGCTGGTTCCAGGTTCCATAATAACATATTAGTCGAACAACAATTCCTAACAAAAATATTATTAAAATCTGCTGGGATACCCTATGTTCTTTACATAAAATATGAGTGATTTTGCCAAATTGTTTTAAAGTTTTTTATAATGATTTTTAAACGGAGAGACACATAAAATTATCCAATATGTTTCGATACGTGGGCCTTCCCCCCGGCAGTGTACATTATACAAAAATAAGTCATAAATTTGATTAAGAGGTTGTAGAACATTCATAGCATTGGCGTCTTCCTAACTTTCTTGGTGGTGGGTGGGTGGTTGCGTTCCTGTTCATGATGAATTTTTGTTAGATATCTGTACATGTGTGTGTATTTGTGTACAAACATTTTAAGCCTAACGATGAAAAGTTATGTA